CAAGGAAAAACTTCAATCCACTTTGAAAACATGTCTACAATAACCAGAACATATTGATACCCTTCAGCTTTAGGTAACTGAATAAAGTCCATTTGAAGGTGCTCGAAGGGACCCTGAGGGGAGGATGGGATGCCGGAGTCACATCCTCAACCTTGCCTGGGTTAAATTTTTGGCCTATTAGACAACATTTTACAACCTGCTGGAGGAAAGGGGTTAATCCTGGGGCAAACCATGACTTCGTTATCCAACTATACATGGACTGCGTTCCCTCATGGGTAAAATTATGCAACACATGTGCCATCCATGGGAACATGTGCCGGGGCAGGACTACCTTTAATTCGTTCGAGACCCAAATCCCTAGGTCGTTAATGAAACAATTTAGGTGGGCCCACTGTCGCTTCTCCTCCAGAGGGGCCTCATATTGGATCCGAAATATTTCATCACGCATCGTATCAGTAATAGCGGGGCGCTCGATAGCCTGTTGTAATGCCAATATTTTTACAGGCTTACATAAAGCAACATGTTTTGCAGCAGCATCTGCATAAGCATTTCCCTTAGAGACAGGGTCAGTTTGGTTAGTATGGGCCGCACATTTTATGACCGCAATGGCTTTTGGCCGTAGTAATGTGGTGAGAAGACCTACTATAAGGTCTTTGTGTTTAATGGGGGACCCACTTGAAGTAAGAAATCCCCATTTTTTCCATAGTTGGCCGAAATCGTGACATACTCCAAATGCATAGCGGGAGTCAGTGAACACATTGAGCGTTTGCCCTTCAGCCAATTCACACGCTCGCTTTAGAGCAGTTAGCTCTGCAGCCTGCGCAGATGTGGTGGAGGGTAACGAGTCGCTTTCAGTAATGGTGGTAGCTGATACAATGGCATACCCTGCACAGGGCTGACCGAACTCATTCCTACAAGCCGATCCGTCTACAAACCATTCATAATCTGCATTTTGCAAGGGACTCTTCTTTAAATCTAAGCGTGGTTTTGTTTCTAAGGTAATGATTTCAAGGCAATCATGGGGTTCCCCTTCATCTTCTATGGGCACAAGGGTTGCTGGGTTCAGAACAGTGCAACGCTTAATGGTTAAATTTGGGTTGGATAGTAGACACACCTCATACTTGCTGCTCCTGGCACTTGTTAAATGTTGAGTTGCATGTCGAAGCAGACATGACTCGACCGAGTGCGGGACATGCACGATAAGGGGGTGATTTAACGTCAACCCCTCAGCTTGCATAACTGCAAGGTATGTGGCAGCAACAGCTTTTAGGCATCCTGGAAGAGCGCTAGCTACCGAATCCAACTTGGTAGTGAAGTATGAAACCGGTCGCTGGCCTCCCCCATGCTCTTGAGTGAGGACTGCTTGCGTGAATTCCCTCCAACCTCATGCACAAATAAGTTAAACACTTTGTCATAACTTGGAATGCCCAAAGCGGGGGCGCTCTGTAAAGCCGTTTTGAGTTGATCAAAGGCTTGGTCCGCCTCTGCCTTCCATACTAAGGGTTCTAGGCTGGAGGTTGGTTTGGTCATTTCAGTCAGGGGTTTAGACAGTTGAGCGTAATCGGTAATCCACTGCCTGCAATAATTGGCCATTCCCAGAAAATGTTTCATCCGCCTTATAGTAATTGGCTTGGGAATTTTCTTAACACTTTCTCTTCTGGTAAGGGAGAGTTGACGAGTATCTTGACATAAATCGTGCCCTAAATATTGGACTTGTGGCCTGACGAGCTGTAATTTATCTCTCGCCACTTTATGGCCTTTCACTGCCAATTGCTGCAAGAGGTACTTTGTATCCTTCTCACAAGCCTCCACGGATGGACTCACAATTAATAAGTCATCCACGTACTGGATCAGGGTACTTTTCCCTGGGAATTTCAAATCATGCAAGTCATTCCGTAGAGTCTGAGAAAAGATAGTAGGACTCTCGCAGTACCCTTGGGGTAACCTAGTCCACGTATATTGTTCACCTTTATACGTGAAGGCAAACAAATAGTAGGACTCTGGGTGAATTGGAACCGAAAAGAATGCAGAACATAAATTGATAACTGAATAGCAGACCGAAGCGGCGGGAATGGCCGTTAGAATGGTCGCAGGATTAGGGACGATAGGGCAACATTGTATTACCACGTCGTTGATTGCTCTTAAATCCTGGACAAAGCGCCATCGCTTTCCATCTGCTTTAAGGACTGGTAGAATGGGAGTGTTACAGGGGCTACGGTATTTAATAATGATTCCCTGATTCAACAAGCTTTCTATTACTGCTCGTATTCCCTCCTCAGCCTCCTTTTTCAATGGATACTGCGCGCGATAGGGAAGGGGTTTTTCCCGGTGCACCTGTGCCTTAAAGGGTGCTGCCGTCAGTATCTTCCCCACATCATTGGGGTGTATGGTCCATAGGGTGGAGTCTATTTCTTTTAACCACTCTGGTTCTGCCGCCAGAAGAGGCAGAACATGGGAAGATGAATTGTGAGTGTGCCGAATAAATTCAAACATGGTAAAAAGTGAGAGGGGATCAATACACAGTTTATAAATCCGCAAGCACGGGTCGTATAAAATGTCAGGGCAAAGTTCGGTGAAATTTGGTGACCAGTTTGCCTTCCTGACCATTTGCCCTAAGTCCTTTGGGCTGAACCCATCCGCTATTCTTAATGTTACATGAGGGTCAGAATTATTACCTTTAAAATAAAGCTGCTCCTCCGTTGTCAGAGTACATGCAGCTGCAATACCCTGCGGTCCCAAATAGAGGAAATGAGCCTGAATAGTGGAAGCAACCGCGACATGCTCTTTGAACCGAGTTATGTCCACTTCCTTGTTGTCGATGTAGAAAGCCGTACAATGCAATGGGGAAGTAGGTGGTGTTAAAACATGCTCCAAAAAATAACATTCAAGAAGTGGCTCACTAACATAAAGTAACATGGTAGAATATAACACCTCAGGCATTTTCAATGTCCAACAAAAATAACCTGGGGATTGTAGTTTCTGAGAGCTGGGAGAAACCAAGGAGCACAGTTTTGGGTATTCGCGTTCGGGTGCCAATAAGGTAATGCCATCCGGGGTACATTGGATGATTATCCCCATTTTACAGAGCAGATCTCGCCCACACAGATCAATTGGTAATTCGCTATTTACCAAAAACTGATGGTAACCCTCAATCGTACCGTCACCTATATCCTGTTAAGAGGGCGACTTCCTCAGCTGCATCTCTTTCCCCTCTTTCTGGTTTCTTTTTCCTGGCCACCAGTAGCTTTGTTGCTGAGTTCTGTCGGCTGGCCAGAATACTCTGCGCCTGTCGCTTTTGGCTTTCAGAGACCCATAAATTAAGTCCTGCTATTTGTGGGGATAGGTTATGTTTCCTGCAGATACTGCTACGACACCCACTCTGCTCCGATTTGGCATGTACCGCTGCCTGAAGAGCGGCAATACGGTCTTTATTAAAGGACCCGTCTGGAGGCCAGGAGCAAGGCTGGCCCTTAGTTAATTTAGTCCAGCTCCGCAGATAGCGAACACGGTGTTGGCCAAAATGGGTTTCCATGTAAGCCGCTGGAGTCCCCTTATCGCCCTTTTTAGCCGAGCTAAATGATTGTCCCATGGTATAGTTTAACAACGAAACAAGTGGTTGCCCCAACACAGTCAAAATACAAGCAATTATCTATTTCTATTTTCAACGGCCGATTCCTTATGCATGCAAGACTTTATCTTACTTAAAGACATCTAACTTATCAATATATTAGTGACTCTAACCCGTAGTCTACTTAACCTCAATCCTAGGGACTCGAACCCTTAGTTTAACAACCTTAATATTAAACAACCTTAATATTAAACAACCTTAATATTAAACAACCTTAATATTAAACAACCTTAATATTAAACAACCTTAATATTAAACAACCGATCGGAGTTATAACTGTATCTGTGTCGGGCGGAAACACCAGTGGCCGACTTCCCTGAAGACGTCTTATCCATGTACTATACCTTATAGTACTAAACCGCCTGAAATTATTTAGGTCTAAAAAATTGCAAATTTTGCACCTTAGATCGAAGAGGCCGGGAACGTTCGGCAACCACGTCTCAACAACGCATCGGACACAAACAATGGTAAGAATGCTTACCTGTGCACGATATTTGTGCCGATAGCTACAGAGTCGTAGGAAGCCGAAGGGGAAACCCAGTCTTTCGATCTCGGTGGAACCTCGAAATTGTCGAACCCAGTTGCGATGTGTGATTGCTCTTGATGACCTGAAGCTCAACACGGAGTCAGTGTGGCATTTACTTAGCAAGCTTTATTTCACATATATATATATGGGGTGCAGGGCAGTAGCAACGACTTTCTTCTAGCGCTGCTCCCTACTCTGCCCACCAAATAGGTGAAAACATCTCTCCTTTATACAGATCTCATTGTACCATGAGTCATTCAACAGTTCTGAAGAGACATTCTAAATTGATTACTTTACAACGTCCAGTCTCGCAAGAGCTCTCGAGAAACATTACAAGGGTGTTAATCTGTTTTAGGTCAACATGAGATAGTCACCTTATCTTTCAATAGGTTGTTGTAAAACTTTACAATAACATGCTTGATCTTACTTGCTCCTTTTGGCCTTTCATGCAAATGGCCTGCTTAATTGCTAACTTTGCACCAAAAGACAGAATGTGCTGAATTTGCCTTCCACAACAGCTGAAGTTAAGAGATTTGTGAAGCAATGACAGACATAAGGGAGTTAAACATTACTGGTGAGGCCCCAATAGACTAGACACAATCAAACATAGGTCCCATATTCAAGGAAGGTGACAAGAGGCTGCCTACAACAGATTCATTAGCCCAACTCAACTGAAAAACTATTGGTCACTGGGTATCAAACCCAAATCATGGATTGGAGTAACTGGCTTAAGGGAAGCAAGCAGAGATAGTGATTAGTAGAGCTATATTGGGGAGGGGGGATAAGAAGTGAGATATTAGTTGGGATACCTTATAGTTTTCCTTCCATAATGTCAACCAGACCATTGAGAAATTGAAATGGCTTTAATTTACTTTTAAGACAAATTTATCGGTGTACATTTTGTTTCAAGACACAAGTTCTCAGAGACAAGATAAACAATGGAATCACTGGTGCTGTTCAATCAGAGCCTTCAACTTTTCGTTATTGGCACCAGTAAGCTGCGATATCTGTGAAGTGGAAAATTTACAACATGAATCCTATGAGCAAAATAGTGTAGAAGTTATACAGAATACACAGCCCTCACAAGCCTAGTTATGAACAAGGTGCAACTTGACGCAGAATTCCCAAGAAGGAAACTAATTATTTTTCTGTATAAATGCATAGGTATAATGACATTGTCAGTTTTGACATGTGGGAGGGGGGAAAGAGAATCAGAAGAAAGGGGTTAAGTTATAGAATTTGTAAGAGAGAATCCTGAATACGTAGCAGATCCCAATTGTTTGTACCCAATCCTCTCCAAACACCACTCAGACTCAAATTAGTTCAGCATCTGAGCACATTTTACATTTATATGGCAGAGTTCATGCTGATAGGATGACTAAAAAGTAATTGGCAGAGTCTACAGAACACTGGGGCAGGGAAAGGTGACCCAAAAATACAGTTTAAAGGTCAACTGAGCTTCACTTTTTCAAAATTCACTGCCCATGGATCCCTCACAACCCCAAAAAATTAATAAAATAAAGTCCAGAAAATAGGCCACCAAGTACAAACAGCCGGAAAAGGCTGGCAGTTTCTTTTGCTGACTCCCCACCAGCCCCCAAGTACATTCAATAAATTAACTTTTTTTAAAAATTAAAAATACAAAATATTACCGTACCTTTACTTCATTCTTGAAGAACAGGAATGTTGGCATGGATGTGATCACACACGTTTCAGTAATTTCCTAAAGAGAAAGAAATAATAATAATCCTTGCATTTGATATTGCGCCTTATCTCATCTTTGAGACGTCTCAAAGGGCTTCACAGGATATACTATAAAGTAGATTGACTGTATTTTATGGGTGAAATGCAGCAGCTAGTCACGTTCAAATTCATGAACCCATAGCTAGCAATCAATAGAAGTGATTTAAAAAATTGTATATATATATTACATATATATACACACACACACACACACACACATCTTTTCTCGTTCTGGCTTTCCTCAACGCCTTGGGAAGCCCCCTGACATGAAAGGCGCTATAAAGATGTAATTTGGTGGTGGTGTTGGATGCTCTCCAAAATCCTACCTAAGTGGTCATTGTTCAGAGTGTAAGCAGGCCATTTGCCTGGAGAGGGCTTCACAGCTGAACCAGCTTTTGTACACTGTGCCTCCAGTATAAAACACAACATGCTATTACAGCTTTCATCCCTTGCGCAGACACTTTCAAGCTTATGCCAGTCATCTCTATATAAAGGTTTAATTATTAGAAAATAAATCAAAATGAAGTTAGAAAAGATATTCAATATAATCCTTGCACCTGATATAACACTTTATCACATCATTTAGCTATTTCAAAGCACTTCACTGAATATATTGTAAAGTGGATTGACTGTGTATTTTGTGGCCGAAATGAGAGAGCCAATTGCATACAGCAGTGGATTGAGCGACCAAATTAATATTTTTTTTGAGGATTATTGCCCTGGAAACCAATTTGCCAATCGACTAACAACCGGGTTCCTACTTACTGCCAGGTAAACAGAGGCATGTGGAATAAGGAAACTTGTGAAGGTTTTGTCCGGCCTGGGAATCAAACACAGGTCCTCTTGTCTTCGAGGCAAGTGGGTCTCCGGGACACTGTGCTACAGGACTCCACTAAATTATAGCATTCCTAAATCTGTAATCCACCCAAAATCAGCGCACTCCAGCAATGGATCCTTACCTCTGCATCATCCACATCAACTTTGCAGAAGATGACATTGGTGTATTGTTCCGAAAGTTCCTGAAAGAAAACATTTATTAAGCTCCACTTTAACACATTTATTTTAATTAAGTCACAAAGACAGAATGCATTGACCTGACAATTTTTCTCTCTCCCCCCTTTATTCCTCCAAATTGGTTTGGTGTATTATAATATTAAATATTTATAAAAAGTTTAAAAGCAATGGATTAGTGTAAGGTAATTCACACAAACAATAACAACAACAACTTGGATTTATATAGCACCCTCCTCACCGAACGGCGTCTCAGAGCGCTTCTAGCTTCTAATAATCCTTGCACTTGATAAAGCGGCTTATCACGTCTTTGCGACACCTCAAGGAGCTTCATAGAATGTACTGTAAAGTGAATTGACTATATATTTTGAGGGCGAAACATGCACAGGAGCATCCCATAAACAGTCATGGATTGAAATTTTTATTAAAAATTTTTTAAAAAAAGGATTATTACCTCTGGAAAAGCATTCCACCACTCGATTAACAGCTGAGTCCCTACTTACTGCTAGGTAAATAAAGGTTGTGGAGTAGGAAATTTGCTTAGGGAACAAATCTGAACCCTCTTGCTTGCGAGGCGAGTGCTGTAACATTACAGGCTCCACAATCCTCACAGAAAATTTATTCCCTGCCACAAATGTTGGCTAATTTTAGATTCACCTTATCATTTCCTCTCTCCTCCTTACTTCCTCTCCACTCCCACCCCTCCACCTTCATTAAAATCTCAGATAACTGAACAAACACTTGGGTTTAAACATGTCTTGTTAAAGAGGCTGGGTTTTAGTTGCATGACATTTTCAATCATTTATTACATCCTGCTTAAGAGGTAAAAGAAGATGGGGGAAAAAGGGATCTTGCAGGAAGTAGCCTTGTGGTTATGTTAAGTGGACTATGCTGTAAAAATCACATGCTGAGATTTCGCTCTTTCAATTTTGATTATTGGATCAAATCTTGCCATTTAATCCAGAATTAGGTAAACAGAGTGTGTCCCTCTGGAGAGAGAATGCATTCCATTCCAAAGTCAGGTGTCGATTCTCTCAAGCATGGCAATGTGTTTCCATGCATCAGATACCCGTTTGGCCACAAATAAGATACTGACTGCCGAAAGCCAGGTACACTTAACTCAATTGTCAGCCAGCATAATAATTCAGATCAATCTTGTGAGCTTGTGATGTGGATTGAAAGGCTGCATTTCTGGAAGTTGACAAGAGACAACTGAAGGTTCCAAACTTGGATCATTATCAATAGGATGTATTGGGCAAATTGGAGTCTATATTGGCATCTCTGCTTCACAGTTTTTCAAGTTGAGAAGCCCAAATAGATGCCCATTTCCACAATCTGGTTATTTTGATGGGGTCGGGGGGGATCATTTTCAAGAGGAAAATTTAATTGTATTGAGTGTCTTATAATAATAACAATCCTTGGGTTTGGTACAGCGCTTTTCCCGTCTTCTAGACGTCTCAAAGCGCTTCACAGAATAGACTGTAAAGTGAATTGACTGTATATTTTGTGGGTGAAACACGGCAGCCAATTGGGTACAGCAGTGTCCCACAGACAGTCATGGATTGAAGTGACCAATTTATTATTGTTTTTTTTTCTTGAGGGATTATTATTAGGCGTGTGGAGTAAGGAAACTTGTCCAAGGTTTCGCGCTGCTCGGAATCGACCCCAGGTCTCTCGCTTGAGAGGCGATATTCAAGTGATAGACAATAAGATAAAAATGGGAGTTGGAATTCTATTTTCCAACTCCATTCTCCAGGAGTTGCAACTCAATTCAGAACAATTGAATCTTAACAGTAAATCTTTGTAGGCCAAGTTTCTATAAGTGACAGAGTGACACATCTGGTTACCACAAGGATTCAATTATTACAACTGTAATGTTGTAATTCCAAATGCAGGGATTCTCAGTGATAAAATGAAAACCAGATCATAAGAACATAAGAATTTGCTAGACGAAAGAAGATCAAGGTCCACCTAATTCGCCTTCCACCATCCTGGCAGTCACTTAACATGTTGTATCCCAAACTATATATTGTATTCCAAGATATTATTTTATAGCAGAAATCTATCTAAATTGTTCTTGAAAGACACAACATTTTCTGCTTCCACTGTCTCCCCAGGGAATCTGTTCCATAAGTTTACTGCTCACTCACTGAAGTAGTGTTTTTGCAGATTTGTTCTGAGTTTACCCCCTTCAGTCGTAGGCCGTGACCTTTGCTTCTACTGTTCAGTACAAGATAGAACAGCTTATCTTGGTCTACATTATCTATTCCCTTCAGAATCTTAAAGAAGGTAATCATAACGCCCCTTAAACTTCTCTTTCCCCAGTGTGAACCTGCCCAGTTTATCTAATTGCTTCTCGTAGTCCAATCCCGCAATTGTTTTGGTTGACCTCCTCTGTATCCTCTTAAATCGTTGTAATATCCTTTTGATATTGTGACGACCAGAACTGCACACAGTATTCCAAGTGCAGTCAGTTTACCAGTGATTTGTAAAGTAGCAGGATTACCCCACTATTTTGGCTCAATATTGCCCTTTTAATATACCCTAGCGATGTCGGATATGAAGGATCTAAGTGTTAATAGGTAAAGGAATACCAACCTTCTTCCATAAATAACATATGGCTAGACTCTGGCGAATTGGTCAGGACTTACTCAATGTAATGGTCCAATTGGATCATGTGCATTTCTCATGGCTTTATTGTTAAATAAGTACTTACTTGATAAAATGGGGCAATGGCTTTGCAAGGTCCACACCATGAGGCATGGAAATCGATGACCACCAGTTTATCTCCAGCTTCTTTTAATGCACAATTGAATTCATTCTGAAATATAAAAATTTCATGCATTAGACTTTTGTTTTAAAAATGGAAAAATGGCTGTTTGTGGGAAACGGCTGTGCACAAATTGACGGCTTTGTTTGCCTACAAATACACAGTCACTACTCTTTACAGTAAAATTCTGGAAACCACTTTCAGATGTCTTGATGGTTGATAAGGTGCCAGATCAAATGCAAGGATTATTATTAATATTGACAGAACCCGAGCAAGTCTCTTGGATTTTTCAGATTCCACTCAACAACAACAACTTGCATTTATTTAGCACCCTTCACGCAGCATGTCAGAGTGCTTAACAGCTTGACACCGAGCCAGAGGAGATCACTGTAGGCATGGTCAACGAAGAAGGTCTTAGGTGTGATCTGAAGACTGGGAGGGAGCAGTCAAGGTGGGAGGAATTGAGGCAAGGTGTTCCATAGTTTAGGGGCATAGTGGCTGAAAGCATGGAAGTTGACAATGGAGTGGAGGGGCTGAGAGACATGCAGGAGGTTGGAGCCAAGTGAGCTAAGGTGGCAGATAGTGGAGTGGTTTGAGTTATTGAGGTGCGGGGCATGAAGTGATTTGCACACAAATGTGAGGATCTTGAAATCCACCCGTTCTGTAGTAGAGAGGCAGTGGAGCCTGACAAGGACTGGGTTGATGGGGTACAGAGATTGGTCCGGATGAGGATGTGGACGGTGGAGTTTTGAATTAAGAGGACGACAGCGCCTTTTTGTTTAAAATAGAAAATAAAATATCACACTTTGTAATCTAAAATACTTAAAAGAACATCTTCCAACTTGACATTGTTGTGGCTTAATTTTCTTTCCAGTCACTAGCATTCCTCACTGTTAACCACGTGCTATATAAATTTGTGGGTTTATAACAATTTTCAAAAGTAGAAATGAGCACACTGGTACACTGGATGTGTGGTACAAATTCCTGCACACAGAACCCAGGAGTCCCAACATCCTCGCAACCATTGGAATCAGTAACTGACTACAGCAGAAATGAGAAACTTCCTATGGGGAAATTCATTCTGATCTGTGCGCTACATTTAGCAATATGTTGGAGTCATGGCCTGGGCCAATAGAAGAGTGTGAAATATTTGCCAAAAATTGCAGGGAGTGGGGGAGGATTGGCAAATTTTGTGCGAAAATTCTCGGGAGTTGATTGGTGCTATGGAGGTATATGTTACTGCCAACCTACACACACACACACCGGGAAACAGAGAGACAGACACACACACACACAAACACACACGGACACAGAGAGACAGACACACACACACACAACCGGACACAGAGAGACAGACACACATACACACACAACCGGACACAGAGAGACAGACAGACACACACACACCCGGACACAGAGAGACAGACACACACACATACAACACACCCGGACACAGCGACAGACACACACCCGGACACAGAGAGACAGACAGACACACACGGACACAGAGAGACAGACACACACACACCCGGTCACAGAGAGACAGAAACACACACACCCGGACACAGAGAAACGGACACACAACCAGACACAGAGAGACAGACACACATACACACACACCCGGACACAGAGACAGACATACACACATACACCCGGACACAGAGTGACAGACAGTCACACACACCCCCGGACACAGAGAGACAGACACACACACACACACACGGACACAGAGACAGACACACATCCGGACACAGAGAGACAGACACACACGCACACGGACACAGAGAGACAGACACACACACACACCCGGACACAGAGAGACAGACACACACACACACACACCCGGACTCAGAGAGACAGACAGACACACACA